CTGTTAAAAATGATTTTTATTTTTTCCGTCAAAAATAAAAGTCTTTTTGGGATTTTTATTTTTTCCGTCAAAAATAAAAGTCTTTTTGGGACTTTTATTTTTTCCGTCAAAAATAACAGTTTTTTTGGGACTTTTATTTTTTCCGTCAAAAATAAAAGTCTTTTTGGGACTTTTATTTTTTCCGTCAAAAATAAAAGTCTTTTTGTGATTTTTATTTTTTCGGTCAGGAAATAAAAGTCTTTTTACGTAAATAAACATATAGAGTTTGGTACCAGTTATATAACCTTTGACCTAATAGTCAGGGTAATGATTCTTTAATTTATATTCATGATTTGGTACACTAGACTATTTTTTAAAAATTTATAACAAATATTTTTTACCTTTGATCTTGATTACTTATGTGTACACTTATTGTAATAAGGACAGAGATTTATAAATTGTAATTTTATAACTGATTACAAGTTGTATAAACTTCTTTACATAAAAAGAGTTTTATTTCCTGACGGAAAAAATAAAAATCCCAAAAAGACTTTTATTTTCTGACGGAAAAAATAAAAGTTCCAAAAAGACTTTTATTTTTGACGGAAAAAATAAAAGTCCCAAAAAAACTGTTATTTTTGACGGAAAAAATAAAAATCCCAAAAAGACTTTTATTTTTGACGGAAAAAATAAAAATCATTTTTAACAGTTAAAAATCAACGTTTATTTTTTCCGTTAAAAAATAATCCTTAACATGGGAACTGAGAGTGTTTTCTCAAGATCACTCAATATCCTTAATGGGCTCCTCAACACGAATCTATTGGTATATGACACTATTGGTGTCCCATGTCTCTAACATGAAGATTTTTTTGTTCGCATTTTAAAAAATAACTGTTATTTTCGGTCCCTGGTAAAAATTTGGAAATGATTGGGTTATTAGCTTTTGAGTTATCGTGCCCGCCATTCGCAAAAGAGAAAAACGCGTTTAAAGTTTGAGAAGCCCTTTAGCCGTCACTTGATGCTGACACAATAAATCGGCAATATTTTCAAGAGTTCTTTAGATTTTCACTTGAAATTTTGTTGGGACATTCTTGAATTAGTGTAGGTTCGAATTAAATCAAAAAAAATTTGACCCCGAGGAAGGGGGGGGGTCCCCTTAAATGATAATGAATTATTCAAATCTTTGCATTAAAACGTAAAGACTTAAAAAAATTCCAGTGAACGGAAATTTTAGTAGGATCTGGTCGATCATGTGTAGGGTATCACATTTCGATTCGGAAAAAATTTTTGTGATAGTTAGTCCAAAGTTGTGCCTGCACTAATAATGAAAAATATTAGAATATTTAAAGCCCTGTAAATATTTTTGAATATACGATAACATACATTATGGTATTCGAATTTAATTGCTAAATATATTCTTTCAAATGTAGGCAATTTCTCTTGTACACCTTTGAATGCAATTTGTATAATTTTTCTATCATTATGCAGATGCTTACTCGTTCAGATCTTGTCCAATTATATAGACCATCATTAGGACAGTCATACTTCTACATTACCAAATTACTCTTCCCGGCGTACATTTTCGTTATGTTCGACCATAATTTCCAGATCATTTGGCCAGAACTGAAGCTACAAATAAATCAGCTAGTCATGATTTGACCATCGGTATATCAAAAGGGGTCTATAGGTTCAATATATCGTTCGTTTCAAACGCACGCAAAATGTGTGAATTTACATCGCCATTAATGTGGGAAATATTAGCCACACTGCGTACTGGGAATTATGTCTATGTGACCAAATATATTTTTGAGGAAATTTTGTCCGATTGTCCCAAATTAATTTAAAAATTTTAGTGTTTAGACGGTTTACTCCTATTTGTAAACCCAAGTGACCGTGATACGGAATTTCAGGTGTCATATAGTGAAGGAACATGTTTTCTGAAGAGGTATATTACTATACTGCACTATACCGATTTTAATATCTCGATTAACTGCATCAAAATGTTGGCCATAACTTCGGCATTACCTTTGAATTATATCTCACAATATTAGAGATAGAGCTTTCTATCAGTCATCGAATATTAGTTATTGCAAACGGGGTATAGCCCCCATATAACGGTACCCCCATATATTCAGGAATTTTTTACAAGTTTTTGGGGGATTTGGATAGGTTTTTTTAAAAGAATCAGCAGTAAATTGTATTTTGGATCCACTTTGGCCATCAGATCTGCTTACAAAAAATTATCAGTACCACGAAATTTTCGGTATTCTGATGGTTTTGGGCAAATGTTTCTATCTAATTGGTTGTAATTTCTAAAAATTATAAATATTGGTCCAGCTTTTAGGGAAGCCCCTATATGACGCTACACTCCAAAGACCAGTATTTGGGGATCAATTTTTATACCCTTCATATAGTGAAGGAACATGTTTTCTGAAGAGGTATATTACTATACTGCACTATACCGATTGTCATATCTCGATATTAAAATGTTGGCCATAACTTCGGCATTACCTTTGAATTCTATATCCCAATATTTCAGATAGAGCTTTCTATCAGTCATAGAATATTAGGTACTGCAAACGGTATTATTCGAAATATTCGGTATTCTGATGGTTTTGGGCAAATGTTTCTACCTCATTGGTTGTAATTTGTTATTTTGGGTTGTGGCATGGTATCTTCATACTAAAAATTATCAATATTGGTCCAGCTTTTAGGGAAGCCCCTATATAACGCGACACTCCAAAGATCAGTATTTGGGGATCAATTTTTATACCCTTCACCAAACAGGGTATTGTGGTACAGGGTATTGTGTCTTGTGCATATGTAACATGCAAAAGGTTCCTTTTGAGAATATGCATAGAATCACTTTATGAGTCAATTTATGCATGTCAGTCCGTCCGTCTTTCCGTATCTTGGTGTTAAATTGTAAACAAAGTACAGGTCGCATTTATAATTCGATTTTGATGAAATTTGGTACAGCTCATTTGTTTGGCCCAACGACGAATCCTATTGAAATTGGGGAAAATCGGTTCAGATTTAGATATAGTTCCCATATTTATTTTCGTCCGATTTTAAGTAAATGGTGCCTCAAAGCCCTTTATATCTTTCGATTTGCACGAAATTTGGCACAGCGCACTTAATTGAATATAGAATGAAGTGTGATATGTTTCATGAAAATCGGCTGAAATTTAGATATAGCACCCCTATACTTACTCTCGTCCGATTTAAGTAAAAGGTGCATCAAAGTCCCTATATATCTTTCGATTTGCACGAAATTTGGCACAGCGCACTTAAGTGAATCTAGAATGATGTGTGCTAAGTTTCACAAAAATCGGTTCGGATTTAGATATAGCTCCCCTATATATTTCCGTCCGATTTTAGGTAAATGGTACACCAACGGCCTTATATTTCTTTCGATTTGCACGAAATTTGGCATAACGTAATGAATTGAGACTAGAATATATATATATTTCAGATAGATATAGCTCCCATATATATTTGTCCGATTTCAATAAAGCAAAGTCCATATATAGAATGATAAGACTAGAATGATGTGTGTTAAGTTTTGTGAAAATCGGTTCTGATTTAGATATAGCTCCCATATATATATATTTACGTCCGATTTTAAGCAAATGGTGTACCAAAGTCCTTATATATCTTTCCATTTGCACGAAATTTAGCATAGCGTACTATAATATAATTAGACACATCGGATTCCTGGTGATGAAAAAAATAAATTTAATAATTAAAAATATCCGTTTGAGTTTTCCAACTAAAATCTCTGTAATGTTGACTACTATTTTTTGGAAGCGTCAACAACCATTTATCACGTAACACCATAACATTGTCCTTACATAAACGTTTCGATCGGCTTAAGGAATTTTGAATGCACCCACGTGGTGGAGGGTATAAAATATACGACCCGGTCCCTAGAATTTTATTATTTTTTATTTCTCTTGAGTTTCTATAATTTTTCAAGTTTCAATTTTTGGGTAACTTCCAACTATGCTACTTTGCTTATATAATACCCTCACCAATACGGCTAATGAGAATATATACACTTTGTTACCACAAGTTGAAATATTGATTTTAGACCTAATGTTTCTTTGGACCCAATTTGTAATAGATTTACAAATGGCGTAAATCTATTACAAACTCCACACTTAAATTCCAAGATGGCGAAAAATATGCCACAAATATCAATCCTGCACCTTTAATACACCTAGCAATCTGAACAGTTGTATTCATCTTAAATTACTGAATGTGTTCTCAATGAAAATATCAACTATCTATGTCTTTAATTTTTTGGGTAAATAATGATTAAAATGATTTTCTCAATTATAAAGACACACACATACAAAGATAATCTTTCCTGGGCAACAAAAAATCACAACTGAAATAAACTGCTGCTCCTGCAGCTGCTTACCATTCACAACACTGCTGGGAAAGTAACGCCAACAATATTGCAATGGACATCATGCAACGCATAATAAGTGGGCAAAGGAACCTTGCTAAGGTTTGGCGTTAACATGACCACATCATCGGCCATAAAAACAGTGCGAAAATAAAACGAACAAAACAAGGAACTCTAGGAAACAACATCTCCTCTGGTTTTACGAGATTGTTAAATTCCATGCACATACGTTGTGTGTGTGTGTGTGTGCGTGGTGGTTCTTAAAGTTGTTGCTCCAATGGGATATGTATGGCCAACAAAACGGAGGAGCGAAATAGCCATAAAAAAATCCCATGAAAAATGAAGTGTATAAAAACCGCTGGACAAAAACAAAAAAGGCAATGACAGCAAACGGCTAGAGGATAAGAAATAAACAGAAATGGTCTAGGAAAAAAACTCAAACTCTGGTTACAGCGGTGGAGTACATCCTTACTCAAAAGTAGGGATAAACCTGGTTGGAAATTAAATAGAATCCAAAATTAAATTTAAGCAGAATTTTTTTTTAAATTTCTTTCATATTTAAACAATTTAATATATAATTTAATTTAATTCAATTTAATTCTTACAGCTACGGAGCATCCTACGATTTGGCAGCTCGACGCAAAAATGCCACCAGGGAATCAACGGCCACTTTGAAAGCTTGGTTAAATGAACACAAGAAAAATCCCTATCCGACAAAGGGAGAAAAAATAATGTTAGCCATTATTACGAAAATGACATTGACTCAGGTATCCACCTGGTTTGCGAATGCTCGAAGACGACTGAAAAAGGAAAACAAAATGACATGGGAACCCAAGAATCGTACCGATGACGATGATGATGGCATCAATTCGGATGACGATAAAGATGACAAAGATGATGAGCCGGCTAAAGGGCAATCAATGCACTCGGGAAATTCTCAAATGGGTCAATTGGCTGGTAGAAAGGGTGAGTACACAGAAATTAATATTGTTCAATGGACTTTCTGAATTTGGGACAAGTAAGGTTGGTGCAAATCATGTGATACCCAAACCAGAAACTATAGGCTTTATATATTTTACAATACTAAATTTCGAGACTAGGCAAAGTTTTATGATAATATTAAATACGAAAAAGCCTTTTCTTCATCAATAATCTAAAAATGAGGTTGGACCTTATTTATATAAGGACTATGCCAAAAACTTATACAAACATTGTTTTTCGTGCTACGAGTATCCGGAATGCCAAATTACAGGTAGAATATTAGTTTAAAACCTTATAAATACGAACATTGTTGCTGGACCTTTATATGGGGGCTATATAAAAATGTCTCTCAACGTTCAGGAACCCGATGTACAAAATTACATTCACATCGGTAAGAAAATGAGGCTATGGCATCAAAATATCGTAAATGTACGGTATAATAATATAGACACTATGCCAAAACGTGGACCGATGTCCAAAAAATTTCTTTCTTATATGTGGAATCGGACAAAGGAAAGTATAAGCTCGGTGTTATTGACAATCTTTTCTTATATGAGATGTGCTTATATCCGATATATACTGTATATGAATATAGACTTTATGGGTTCTCCGACTCATTTTTTTCCTGGGCTAGAATATACTCCTTTATTAAAGAAAAATTCTCCTTTGTTTCTGGTATTTTATGGCTCTAATCTAATATTTGTGTTTATTTCTTTCGTGTCATAGATCTCGACAAACACGATTCCACAGATGAAGATCATCAAATGAAATCCCTCAATCATCCTGGCGATTTGCGTATGGGTTTAAATTTCCCCGGTTCTGGTTATCCTGGTTCCAGTCATCCGCATAGCTATCATCCCTATCATCAACATCCGGCCTACTATCAACACCAACAGTCAATGTTCTCTTCCAGCTATCCGCATGCAAGCGGTGAGAGTTTGATTGGCAAACATGATGTTAACGATCCAAAAAACCCCATGAGCCGGGACTGTGGCGTACCAATTCCAGCCAGCAAGCCGAAAATCTGGAGTTTAGCCGACACAGTCGCCAGCAAAACACCACCACTACACTCGGCAGCCTACATGAGTCATCTGCAACAGCAGCAGAGGCAAAATCTGCAGCAGCAACAACAACAACAAATGTCGCAGCAGCAGCAGTCGCATCCTATGCAGCAGTTGCAGCAAATGAGCAGTTTAATACCGGCAGTTTCACAAAGTACCAACAACAACAGCAGCAATATGATGAGTGGAAACTACAGCATAAATCCCTATACACGGGGGCCCTCTACAGCTTACGAGAATTTTCTAGGGGCTATGGCTACCAACAATATGCCTCCTTACAACAACAGCAGCAACAACATCAGCAATACAACCAACAATCACAACAGCAGCAGCAGCCAATCCATTTCCAACAACAATCACCACAGCAATCCACATCAGTCCAACTCTCAACAGCTTTCTCCCAACACCCCGCCTACTACAACGCAAGTCCCAAACGTTCATCATACCCAACAACAGCAGCAACAACAACGAACACCCTCCACGACTCACCAGCGGGGGATGGGGTTTCCCGAAGCCCAACCAGATACTCCACCCCAAACTCCACCGAATATGAAAATACCGAACGTTCAGTTGGCCACGAATCTCTTGCTTACCGCTACTCAAGCCCATATGACCGCTACCTGCCACAACATCAGCAGTAACCACCATCCTCAGGGTAATACCTATGGCAACGGTTCCAATCGTTCCTATGGCGACTATTCACCAAGAGATGAAAATTCTGTTGGCAGTTCATGCAGTTCCGGATCGGCGTCCTCACATGATCCAGAACAATTAGTATACAAATCGATATTTAAAAGGTAAGTTAATTCAAATTTGTCAACACGTGAAATGTGTAAGAACCGTAGGGTTCTGCTGACAGATGTATATCGTCTGACTAATATTTGGTGATTATTTCGATTATTTCAAAATCAGTGCATTATCGAAAGAGTGTATATTCTGTGTAAATTTGTTGAAGGTATTCGACTTTTCAAAATAATCACAGTTTCTATGTGTTATATACATAATTATGTCATTAAATGATATATAAACCTAAAAGCCATAATGTCTTTATAGTAAACATAGAACCTATTATTTCATTCGGCATTAAAACAACAAATTAAAATTAAAACAAAAAATTAAGTGCTGGACTATCAAAACTTCCTTAGAATCGTCTAACTGAAATTTTTAGGATTTTTTCTATTCTCAATAGACTATTTCTTTATTTTTAGTTTACGATATTTCGAAGCTATAAATTTTAATGTACCTTTTTGTAACTTTAATTTTTCTTTTTAGCCAACAACATAACACTTTTGTCCAGCCCGTTTAAAATAGCAGACTCAGTTATAAGATAGGTGTTTATATAAGAGATGCACCTAATAGGTACGTAAAATTAGAGTTTATTACAACCCATTTTATATTGCTGTGTTGTTTATAAAAAAATTGTTTTATGGAATTAATATATTAAAATTCAAAATTAAAAGCGAAATTCTTCGTCAATATCTATTCTGCTTCATCAGCTTATGGATGAGGCAGAATGCAATACCTCCTGATTATAATAAAATTCTATTCGAAGTGACTCTAATTAGGCATTTTTTGTTTCTTAGATGTTAAACAAATCTTCAAAAACAAATCATATATATAGCATTTTAGATTCTCCATGATGTTGATGTTGCCAATTTTGTATATCGCATAGGACCAACTTTACTAAATGTTTTTATGTTTTCAGTAGGTTTTCTATCCGCAGAGAAATGTAATTGCATGTATAGTCGTTACAAATTAAGATGATTGGTTGTAAACTTCAAAATACTTCATATATTGTCTATAACAAAATGACCCTACCAATAAAACATCAAGGAAAGGGCTTTCACCACTATCAGTATTTATGCAGGAAAAATTTAATGAATATCTTCATAATTTCATTCATCGTTTATTTTTCCCTCCTTTAAAAGTGAGAAAGCCACTATTTTATCCAAAAAATGTAAAAAATTCATGAATATCAAAACTATTTTCATACTTCGTTCTACTTCAATTAGGCCCATCAGTATACTTAAAAGTAGCTGCCTATTCACACACATTGTTATGCTCTTTCAGTCAGTCGTTGTTTGACAGGCAACGAATGAACACATGCTGGGGTGCGCGCACGTCGTCGTGTCCGCACAACTAAAAAATCAACGAAATAACACTTAGGGATAAAAGTGTTTCAGTATATTTGGATTTTTATTTTATTATTCAAAATGCGTTTTGTATGTTTAAAAAAATTTAAAAACAACAGAACAATTGCTGTTGTTAAAAGAATTAAATATTTGATTATTATCGTAGTATTTAATATTAATATTTAGTATTATAATATGATTATTATCTCGGTATATGCTACTTTGTAAACTTTATTAGATTTTTGTGACATTTACAATTTGTAATTCATATAAAAACATTTTTAATAATGCTTTTAATTTATATAATAACAAAAATTAAATTATTCAATAATTTTTCCGACCACCAAAATGTACACACAATTTTGTTCGGTACTGTTCTGTTTTCTCTTACACATACTAACGCATTTTAATTTTGGGCACCTATGTTCTACTTTAACACTAGTTGCTGTTGAAATATGTGTTTAACAAATTAATATATACTGTATTCTATATTGTGGATTTGTAACATAGTAGACTCTATTCATGTATGTACATGTATTTGGAAAATACTTTTATTTTTACACTTCAATAAAATATTTCAATCTAATAGGTTATGAGCCCAGCCAGCCCGATAAAAATAGATTGAATTTTATTAACATTTTTTGAAGTCTATAAAAAAAAAGAAAAATAAATATTAAAAGAAATTTTCTTAAGATTCTGTGAAAAATAAATATCAGAAAGGAGCAAACAATGGAATTTTGCAAAAACGTGAAGCCGTTATGTGGAGAGTCGGAATGGCCTATTTGGAAGCGAAAGGTCAAGGATCTTCTAGATTTTTACGAGGGAGCTTTGGATGTAATTGAGCGCAGAATTACAAAACCGGAACCCCTAGAAGAAGGAGCTACAGAATCCCAAATGAGGGACCACAAAAAGCGGTGTGATTTCTACAGAAAAGCTAACAGCTATGCCAAGAGCTTGATCACAAGCACTATTTCAGATGAAATTTTCATGAAAGTCATGGATAAAGAATCTGCATATGATGTCTGGCAGGCGTTACATCAGCAATTTGAAGCAACATCTAAAGATCAGTTATTCAAAATGTGCACGGAGCTTTTCTCGTTTGAATGGATACCAGAAAACGACGTTTCTACACATATATCCAAGCTTAAAAGCTTGTGGAATGAAATCAATTCTGGCTTGATAATAAAAGGAGAAAAGGAGCTGCCAGAATTACTTCTGATCTGCAAGATTCTACACATATTGCCTAAATCATTTGAAATGTTCAAATCAAGTTGGATGATGCTCACACGAGATGAAGACAAGTCCTTAGATGAACTACTTATGCAGCTCTGCTTGTTTGAAAGGAATTTTAAGAAATCTGAAGATGAAATTGTGGAAAAACAAGAAGCATTAGCTCTGAATGAGAAAAAAAGGAAAAATATGCAGAATTTTAGAAATAATACGAGAGATGGAACCTGTCACTACTGCAAGAAAAAGGGGCATTGGATTAAAGACTGCAGAAAGTGGATAGCTGATGGAAAACCATGTAAGTCAAAGCCATCAGTAAGCCAAGACCATCGTTCCAATGTTGCCCTTCATTCTGTAACGAAAGAAGTTAATTTGAGCATATCCGTCAATGATTGTTGGATTGACAATGGTGCAACAAGGCATGTAACAAATTCAAAAGAATTCTTTATCGACTACTAATCTTTCAAAGAATCTCATTCTATACAAGCTGCAGGCAAAGAGACTTTACATGCAATGGGAAAAGGTACAATTCAATTTTTGTCAAAAGTAAAGGATGTCGAGAAGACAGTAAAACTTTATGATGTATGGTATGTTCCTGGTATATCCAGAAACCTTTTTTCTGTGTTGGCCTCACATGATAGAAACCCATCAAGTAAGTTTTATTCTACAATAAATGAATGCAGGCTTGTAAATGAAGAAACGGTTTTATATGGACACAGAGAGGCAAATGGAACTTTATATAAAATAGATTTTCATCAGATATCTGTAAATCAATGTGCTTCAAGTTCAATAGAAAAGTCGAAGCTGCAATTATACCATGAAAGATGGGGACACCAAAATAAACAGTACGTTAAGAAGAAACTAGAACATGAGATGGGAATAAGGGTAAAGAAAAGCAATGAAATCTGTGAGCCTTGCATTTTTGGTAAGTTGTCAAGATTACCATTTGGTAAACGCGAAACTGCGAAATCCCCAGGAGAGTTAATATCGACCGATGTTTGCGGACCATTTCCATCATCATTTAGAGGATATAAGTATATAGTCGTTTATAAGGACAACTTCACAAAATTTAGATACGGTTATATTGTGAAGAACAAATCTGATGTAAAGGATACATTGGTAAAAATGCTTGCTCATGCCAGATGCCAAGGACACAACATAAAAACATTGCTCAGTGATAATGGTGGTGAATTTTCCAATGCAGATGTAAAGGATATTCTAGCGAAACATGGAGTGAGTCAAAGGTTTACCGCTCCATATACACCTCAACAGAATGGTGGTGCTGAGAGAGAAAATAGAACCATTGTAGAGATGGCGAGAACATTTATGAACTCAAACAAGGATATAGAATTTCCAAAATCACTATGGGCAGAATTTGTCAAATCAGCCATATACATATTAAATAGAACAGGAAAATCATCTAAAGAGAATAAAAGTCCATTCGAGTTATGGTATGGAAAGAAGCCGCGAATAAGACACCTTCGTATAATCGGATCAAAATGCTATATTCATATTCCCAGTCAACGTCGCAAGATGGATAGAAAGGCAATAATTGGATATCTTGTTGGATATGACGGCGATGAGAGATATCGTGTCTACATCAAAGAGCGAAATGCCGTAGAAATATCCAGAGATGTGATATTTTCAGAAAAAATTAAAGGTTATTCGGAAGCTGTTGAAAGTACAGAGAGAAATTATTGGATTCAAGCCATGAAATTAGAGATGAGTTCATTAATGGAAAACAATACCTGGGTACTCTCGAATCTTCCCAAAGGAGCGAAGGCACTCCCGTCAAAATGGGTTTATCGAATCAAAACAAGACCAGATGGCAGTATTGAGAAGTACAAGGCAAGATTGGTTATAAAAGGATTTAAGCAAAAAGAAGGAGTAGACTACGATCAAACATTCAGTCCAGTAGCAAGGATGTCTAGTATACGATCAGTCTTAAGTATTGCTGCAACTGAAGGATTACATTTGTCACAATTCGATGTAGCTACAGCATTTCTCTATGGTGAACTGAACGAGACAGTTTACATGGAACAACCAGATGGTTTTAATGATGGCACAAATAGAGTTTGCCTTTTAAAACGAAGTCTATACGGCTTGAAGCAAGCACCCAGATGCTGGAACCAACGAATGGAAATTTTTCTTAAAAATCTTGGGTTTAAAACCAGTTCCGCAGACAGTTGTTTATATACTAGGGAGAAATGTGGCAAAAAGCTAATCCTTGCTCTCTATGTTCGGACAAAATGGAATTGGATTATTTCCTTAAGAAATCGGAGTTCAAAATCGTTAGCAATGACGCATCATATTTTCTTGGTATCGAAATAGAAAACAGCGATGATCAAATCAAAATATCTCAGAAAGCCTATGCAAAGAAAATTCTGGAGAGATTTAATTTCTCAGAGTGCAGGCCAGTTTCAACGCCAATGGAAAACACAATCAAATGTGATACAAGAGCAGGGAAAGCAACAATTGAATTTCCATATAGACAAGCAGTAGGTGCTCTCATGTATCTAATGTTGGGAACAAGACTATAGCGTCGGTAACTTATCAAGGTATCTTGAAAACTACACTTCTGAAGATATTCAGAGACTTAAACGAGTCTTTAGATATATTGCTGGTTCCATAGATGTTGGAATAGCTTATAAGAAGCAAGGACCAAAGATATTAGAATGTTATAGTGACGCTGATTTCGGCGGATGCGTAACCACTGGACGATCCACAACAGGTGTTGTTGCCACTTTTGCAGGTGGAGCTATATCTTGGATAAGTCAAAGGCAACCAACTGTGTCAACTTCAACAACTGAAGCAGAAATTATTGCTGCAAGTGAAGCTTCAAAAGAAGTAATATGGCTTAAACGACTTTTTAAGGATATAATAAATTACAATGAAATTCCAGTGATAAAAATTGACAATACGGCTGCAATACGTCTGGCAAAGAATCCAGAATTTCATAAGCGTACAAAACACATTGACCTGAAACATTTCTTCATACGTGAAAAGGTTACGGAAGGTTTAATATCAACATTGCAAGTTTCTTCTGAGAATCAACTAGCTGATCTAATGACCAAACCCCTACCAAAGCCACGTTTACAATCCCTATGTAATCGCTTAAATATTAATAAATTAAACAAGGGAAAGTGTTGAAATATGTGTTTAACAAATTAATATATACTGTATTCTATATTGTGGATTTGTAACATAGTAGACTCTATTCATGTATGTACATGTATTTGGAAAATACTTTTATTTTTTCACTTCAATAAAATATTTCAATCTAATAGTTGCTCTCATTTTTCCTTTCTCTCTCTCTCTCTTTTGACGAAAACAAATGTATTCCTCCCACGAAAAAAAACCACCACCACTCCTTGTTCGACTGTGTTCTGTTTTGGTATTGTTCTCTGTATGTCTCCTCACTTGGTGGTTGTTATTTTTGTAACCGTTTATTTGTCTACTGTTTCTCTTTTTTATAATCTTTCCGCTAACTCAATTGTAGCAAGTTTTGCAATCCAGCACTTCAGACACTGTTAAGGACTTTGCATTGATGTTATAAAATTCGCATATGTATTATCCAAATTATTTCGAGCAATTGCGAGCAGCAAGCTGAACCGAAAATTTAATATTGTATATAATTGGTATAATGACGCAAAACAAGACACATTTAAGTAAGAACAAGTGGAAAAGGATACCCTCCACCATAGATATACTGACAGGTACTAGAAATGAAAATATACAATACAAATTTCAGAAATTTTTAATGGATAATTATACCATCAGCCTTATGGATAATGAGGGTGTATACAATTTACACCGTGAAAATTTGCCTCATCGAAATATTGGTTTCAGAAAATTTTAGATTTCATCCAAACTTTGCCCATCTTATTTCTTCCAAACTTAGTTCAAATTCAAAGATGGGGAATATCAATCCACTCCTTCTGGAACCTTCACACAGGGACTAGGTCTAAATGTGGGTATAGTTCGTTATCGAACCTTACGTTATAATTTTTTATCTCGCTATCCTCCGCAGGAGAAACGATTACAACAGAGTCTTAGAACCAAACTCAAAACGCGGCACAAATCAGATATCTATTTTAATATAAAAAGGGGTTATATGGGGACTACCCCAAAAAGGGTACGAATATTAACATTTTTTGGTAGGGAGATTTGTTACCATGTATGACTTCAAAATACCAAATTGCAGCAAATTAAAAAACGCACTCAAGAACCCCAAAATACCGAAAATTGGGGGTACCCTTTTATGGGGGCTACCCGAAAAAATGGACCTATTGTCATAATTTTTTGTGGAGAGATTTGGTACCTATTAAGAACTCAAAATACTAAATTACAGCCAATTCGGTGGAAAAATGCGACCAAAACCCCATAAATACTGAAAATTAGGAGGTACCTTTATATGGGGGCTACCAGAAAAAGTGGTCCCATACTTATATTTTTTTGTGAAGACACTTAGTACCCAATAAGAACCCAATGTACCAAATTTCAGCGAATTCGGTTGAAAACCGACCTCAAGAACCCCAAAATACCGAAAATTGGGAATACCCTTATATGGGGCTACCCGAAAAAATGGACCTATAGTCATAACTTTTTGTGGATAGATTTGGTACCTATTAAGAACTCAAAATACTAAATTACAGCCAATTTGGTGGAAAAATGCGACCAAAACCCCCAAAATACTTAAAATTAGGAGATACCTTTATATGGGGGCTACCTTGTACCCATACTTATAATTTTTTGTGGAGACACTTAGTACCCAATAAGAACCCAATGTACCAAATTTCAGCGAATTCGGCTGCCTGTAGACAAAAGACAACCCTATGCAAAATTTCAGCACCCTATCTCAATTCCTTCAGAAGATAGCGTGATTACAACAGACGGACGGACATGGCTAGATCGTCTTAGAATTTTACCCTGATCAAGAATATATATACTTTATAGTGTCGGAAATGAATATTTCGATGGGTTACAAACGGAATGACAAAATTAATATACCCTCCATAATATGGTGGAGGGTATAAAAATCAAGACTAGGCAAAACATAGAATATATGTAATCAAAACGACAAATAAATTCTGTACCATAGATAAAATTATATATATATATATATGTATATATATATATATATATATGGAGCTATTTCATAATTTAGACTTTTATTGTTAATCTAGATTTGTTTCAATGTCCCGTTCTGTTCTTTACAACCATGTTACTATATATATATATGTATTTTTTTTAATTGTTTACTATACCAACCTTGAGAATATGTACAATATAATCTAAATTACACATCTTCTATTTCCACATTCTCTTTTCAGTTAATTTGAATATCAGTTCTTACCAACAGCAAACCAGACCAATGGGTTAAGTGCAAATTTCTTTAACGGTTAAGCAGTCAAGTATATGTATGTATGTGTTTGTTTGTAACTTAAATATATTTTCTTAAGAATTAATGTCCACTACATATATATTTGAACGTAAATAAAAAATGGATACTATTTAAATAAAAATAAAATAAAACACTAAACAAATATGTTAACAGAACATAAATTATCGTTTTACGTTTTGTAATTAGCATTAGGTAAACATTTATTACTGTGATAAATTCCCTATTTAAGTGCGGTGTTGAATAACATATTTACTTGGAACTGTTGCCGTGTGGAGAATTTAATCAATCGATTCGCTACAGCTTATAGTCCTAAAGCGGTTACCATTTCCTAAAACAACTTGAATGAATTTTTCATTATAGAAAATTCTCTATTCGCATTGCCAAATGTGTTTGGTAGGTTATTCAATGAGGTCTGTCATTCGGACAGTCACACCTCTGTCTCTGTACATAATTAATTAGATTTTATTGTCAACTAAGATAAATGACCATTTTAAGCGTAAACAACAACAACAACACTTCATACAAATGTGCAAAAATAATATATATCTATCTGCAATATAATACAATTATTAATTTAATTTAATATATAATTTGAAATTTAATCGCATCGCATAATTGTAACAAGTTACAATTCATAACAAATTAAGCGAACATCTTAATAATGAAATTGAAAAAATAATTTATGTGTTAATAAAAAACATAAAAATAAAAATAAGTTTAATTTAATTTAATGCGAAAACCAACACAATATTATTACGAAATAAAATAGTATTTAATAAAAAAATTATGTATTTTTTAATTAATAATAATTAGTGGGCTGAAAAAAGGTTTGTATATTTATGCTTTACTTACATGACGCTGGTTTTACTTCTTTAATTATTCGTTTAGTGTGATATAAGCAATTTTTATTTATGTCAGGTGGTAAGTATATACATTTACGAAGTTTATGTATGACTAGCGGGCCCGGCAAACGTTGTCTTGGCTAGCAATATTGTTGATGTAAAACTATCGGCATTTTAGGTTTGTTTTTATACCCTCCACCAGAAGGAGTGTACAGATTTTCGTAATACCTGGTTGTTTATCAGAGCACACATAAATGAACATTTTAGTACTGAAAATCTAGAATTTGATGTGTATGAGCGAGTGCGGCTTCTATTTTTGCCTCATAAAGTTTCGTTGGATATACGTTTATTTATAATTGAATTCGTGGAAAATAAATTTAAATGCACATATAAGCTTGAATTTCGAATTTAATTACATTTATATTGGGAAACATTTCCCCATATATTTAGAAGACTTCCATATAACGTTAGCCAAATATTAAGTTAGATTTTTATAACCTCCACGATTTAAGATAAAACTTTGTAATTTGCACATAATTTCTACTACTCATAAGATATTTGGTATTGAAAATGTTCAATTTTGGTTCACATTTAATATTAACTATACTTATTGAGCAGAAAATCTCCCTAATTTCAATTATCATTGCTGTAATTTTATATTCCTCCAAGGGTCTAAAGAGTGCTCCACATTTTTCGATGCTGTGGGGTACGTATTTAAATGTAATCGGCTGTAATTTGGCGGTTGATTGTTTTATTTTGTAAAATGATTCCTATTAAATGATCAATATTGGTCCACTTTTTGCGATAGTTTCCATATAAGGGTATCCCCCCAGTTCGGTATTTTCTCATGTGGTGTTAAATCGTCCTACCAAAAATTAGAATATACAGGTCCCGCTCCATTTTCGGTATTCCAAAGACTTTAACCAAATTTTCTCATAGAGTTGGATTAACGTATTAAAAAATCCCATACATATTTCCCGTTTAATTTTCAGTGTCTGTAATTTTGAATTTATTTTTTTCAAAGCATGGATAACGATAATCTTGTAACATAGTCCCTATATAAATGACCCGACCGGCTTAAGAATTCTAGGTATTGGAAGGTTTAAAAGGGCATCTTAACAATGTTTTAAATGTTATTAGATTCGGTAGTTGAGAATACGAATAAGTAACAACATGGGACTCTTTGTTATAAGAAATGTTTTGATAGAGTTTTGATACAATGCCAATCCTATTGAAAAACCAGTGAGCGGAGCAGTATAGTCGGACGGGGCCGACCATATGATACTCAACACAACTTCCACGAAAATCTAACTTTCTGTGGTACTACATTCTGAGCTTGGGCAATACTTCGCGATATTTGCACCTTCTTGACTAGACTAGAGGTCAACAAATATCATTATTACTAATATTCAGTAATAATGATATTCAGTAATAAATATATTACTTGTCCAGATTTCCTTTACCGTGGGTTGTGTTGTAATGTTCGGCTTTCAATTGCGGCCTATAGGTCGACTCGAAAAAACACAAAAGATTAAGTTTTCGGTCCACTTCATCCCAAAATTATTATCTGATCATCACCGTCCTTGACCATACCTGGATCCTCATAGAAATTTTCAAAGCGATCCGCGTAATGGTTTACTAAATAATATATGAATACGTAAGCACCTGTAAATATTAAACTCCCATATCCGAGTACATACGGCAATGTAATTGTAATCTTGGATATACTATCAACTTCTCCTTTAGGGGAAAATATATACTCTATGGGATACAGTTTTTGTCATTTTTCACACAAAAGTCCGGGTCCATTTGACCCGCCAAATATTGACCGATCTTTATCAAAAGATCGGTCAATATTAGAGCGACCAGAAAACCCGATAAAAATTAAGTATTTGGTCCATTTCATCCCATAAATATTAACCGGTCTCTACCAAAAACAATAGGGGTCTTCATTGGCCAGAACCCATCCTACATGCAAAATATCGTGAAGATTGGTCCATAACTGTGGCCTGTATCGTGTTTACAAATTATAATGAACGGACACACCTGTCTAGATCGGCTCAGCTAGTCGAGATATGACGATTGGTATACTTAACACTAGAAAGACTGGAATTTTGTATATACCTATATTGCCTAAAATCGGTCAAAATGACTTCATTCTGAAAGAATTTTTATTTTGTAAAGAAATTTGTTTAAACTTATTTTTTAATATTTTTTACATTATTTACAATCATTCAAAACGTTATTATTTGTTTTTGGCGGAAGAGCTCCCGAGTTTCCCTTTTTGAAAAATAAGAACGCGGACAAAATGTTCAAAAAAGAGGAAGTATTTACTCTAAGAGTGAAATCGACTGGAAATATAAAAATTATTTTTCCTGATTTGTGTTTTCCTTTGTGTTTCTAGAGTAGCAAACGGGTTTCGATGTTGTTGTACTGATCTGGTCATATAAGAAATTTACTTTATATAATAAAAGTAGTTTGATTATTTAATATTTCACAAGAGGTCAAAATGACAGATTTTAGGGCATATAGGTACATCACATGTGAATACGGGGAATGAAAGAGGGGTGGAAGCAGCTACTATGATTAATAAACGTAGTTCTATGTGGTACAAAAAGTCACCAAATTTTAAAAAGCTGTGTCATAATATACACAATTTTTTTTGTACTTGAAATTGAAAAACCGCCAAAATGACCGCTTTCGGCAATCTAGTGTTAAAGGTGGGTCTAGGACCAATATTTCGCGGCGTTACAAACTCTTGGGGCTGCACAAAGCTATAATACCCTGACAACATAGTTGTGTAGGGTGGTTCAATAAAAATGCCTCAATACTAAATTCGTGGAAATCCAAATATGCTTCATAATATTTTTTTGCAAATTTCTCGAACGATAAAGCGTCGTCGATTCATTCTTTCGCAGCATTTGTTGCTGAAGAACATTTATTTCAAAAATTAAAAAAAAAACAAATGTTCGCGAATGCTCGCGAGCACTGTTAAAAACAACAACAAACAAAAATATCATAAAAACACACACAAACAACTAAAGAATGTGTGTGTAACAGAGAGTGTGTGGAATAACAAAACACATGTCCAACAACTATTGAGTTCACGAACGTTTGTTGTTATTGTTGTTGCCGTTTTGAGCATTCGCGAGAAATCGGCAATGTTTGTTTTCATTCGTGAGAGAATGTCAGAAAGAATTTCAACCACGAAACGAACATTCTTTGGCAAATGCTCGTTTGGTAAAGAATTTACGCCATAGATTCATTCATGCAGCCTCAAGAGTTTGTAACGCCTCAAAATATTGATACTGACCCACCTTTAAGTATACCGATCGTCATGTCTCGACTAGCTAGACATGTGTGTCCGTCCGTCTGTCCGTCGTCCATTATAATTTGTAAACACGATACAGGCCACAGTTATGAATCAATCGTCACGAAATTTTGCATGGAGAAGGGAATCGGGACAAAAAATAAGCAGGCCTTGATAACGATGGGTCAATATTTAGCGGGTCAAATGGACTTTGACTTTTGTATGAATAATTACAAAATTTGTATTCTATGGCGTTAATATTTACTACTGAAGAACATAGACCCAAGAAGTTTTTATCCAAGAGGAGTTGTTGATCTTTAAATTGATACCAATTATATTGTTGTATGTACTCGGATGTGGGAGTTACACTTAAAGATTTACAGCTGCTTACGTATTTAGATATTATTTAATAAACCATTAACACACTAGAGGGCGGAAATATAGCGCTGATCGCTTTGAAATTTTCCTTGAGGATCCAGGTATGGTCCAGGACAACGCCTATAATTTTCGGTGATGATCAGATTAAAATTTTGGGATGAAATGGACCGAAAACTAATTTGTTATGTTTTTTCGAGTCAATATATAGGCCACATGCCGAAAATCACAACACAACCCACGGTGAAGGGAATCTGGACAAGATGATGCAAATATCACGAAATATTAACCAGACTCGAAATAAACATACGCAAAAGTTAGAGTTCCGTTGTAGTTGTGTAGGGTATCATATGGTCGGCCCCGTCCAACTATACTGCTCCGCTCACTAGTTTTAATGATGTAGTGTTTCATACATAATATCTAAATCTATAATAAAATAATAAAAAAAGTTC